CTATAAAATAAATGTCCTCAATATCAGGATGAAGCTTTTCATGAGGTTAGAGGCATTAAATAAATCAATAACTTTAAGCTATTATAACTGGACTCTATTTTGAAACTGTAGATGTTTCTCTTCCCATCAGGGAGGCTTTGTCAGTTGAAAATATTTGGAGTGGGAGCTTTAGAGCTTCATGAAGGTCTATAGCTTAGAACACAGAGTAGAAATCTGCCCCCAAACTGGGCCATGATGCTTTGTGTTAGGCAAAGATGGCGGTATCCGCGAAATACTCCATTGCAGGATGGGGGAAATTGGTCTTGGCAGAGGTCTGCACTCTCCGAGTGCTTCTAGTTTACTTTACATTAAGTCAGTCATACTTGTAGTACTAGTGATTATTAGGAGATATGTTTTAACGCTGTTTGTACACTCAAAATGCCTCATAGAGCCCTGTTGTTGTAAGCGTTACTGTTGCAGAACAAAAAATAGAAACGCTTTTTCCTACATTCTGACAAGTTTGAAACTGGAACGCTTTCAACTCAGAGCTGACGTCGGTCCAGCTTCAGAATTTTGAGTCTGCTATGACTGGAACACAGCAAATGACTGGATGTTTGATGGACATAATTAACCCTTTACAAGAGTCTTTCACAGACCATCCAGCTTTGTGTCAACCTCTCTGTTTGAATACTTTTTATTTGAAATAAATAAATAAAAGAAGCCCCTTTAGGAGGGATCCATTTGTAAAACAGTAGAAATGATTGGGAGACATATCCATCGTAGAGAGATTAATCCGGTCAGACCTGTCTTCAATCTCTGTCTTAAAACTTGGCTCAAAATTGAATTTTTTGATCATTCTGTCGCCATTTCCTGCAGTTACTGGAACAGCAGCAACTGTCCAGTCCCAGACTCTAGTGTGCTTTGAATCAGTTAGGTTTATCCACCTACAATACTGGCGTAGCCTTACTGCACTGCATGCAGCATCCCCTAAGATATGTAAATCTAGTGGAGTCAGGCCCAGGACTTCCATGGCTGCTGTGGGTGTTGTTCTGATGGAACCTGTGATGCTCAGGCAGAGATCCAGACTTATCTGCTGTTTGGGGACCTTTGTTCTACAAGTTGCTCAAAACCTTACTGCCATTTACCTTAAAATTCATTTACCACCACCAAAAAAAAGTCGAAGTTAAAACCTTCTTCTATAGTCACAAAGAAACTTACAGCTTCAGTCCACAGTTCTCCACTGAGAGCTCCTGGAGACATGAAGACTTGGACAGCAGGAACATCAGCTGCTGCTGGACCTCAATGGACTGAAAGAGCAGGAAGAGAAAGTCAGTCTGGTGATTTCAGATAGATCTGCTACTGAAACAGGACAGGTTTTCAACTCAGGGGAAAAGAAATATCCTCTAGAGGTGTGAGGGGTCACTTTCTGTATAGATTTGGCAATTTGCAGACATGTCCAATGTGGTCTGTCCAACAAAGTTTCTCATCGATCCAGACCCCTAAAAAATTTACTGATGAAACTTGAATTATTTCTTCATCATTGATATAAATTTTAATATGATCACTATTATATGTGTTCTTCCCAGCAATCATATATATATACATATATATATGTATATATATAT